TTCGGCCGACATGGAAAAAACAACTTTTATTACACTCTGGGGCACCTATTGTTATAAGGTCATGCCTTTCGGTTTGAAGAACGCCGGAGCAACATATCAACGAGCTATGGTTGCACTCTTCCATGATATGATGCATCAGGAGATTGAAGTATATGTAGATGACATGATTACAAAGTCTCGAAGTAAAGAAGACCACCTGGATCATTTGTTGAAGCTATTTGAGAGACTCTGAAAGTATCAACTAAGGTTGAATCCAGCTAAGTGCATGTTTGGGGTTCGTTCAGGTAAACTACTTGGTTTCATTGTTAGTCAACGAGGAATCAAAGTAGATCCAGATAAAGTTAGAGAAATTCAACAAATGCCTGCTCCTCAAACAGAAAAACAGGTCAGAGGTTTCCTTGGACGGCTAAATTATATCTCCAGGTTCATTTCCAAACTGACGCCTACCTGCACATCGATCTTCAAGTTGTTACGAAAAGATCAAGCAACCGAGAAATTTCATCAAGAATTTCCTCAATACTCTCTTCTTCCGTTTCAAACATAGGGAATTCAAAGTTGGGAAAGAGCATAGGGTCATTATTTTCAATGGGTTTATCATGAATCAATCTGCACAATGATATATGCTTGATTTTACGAAAAAGATAAATACGCAAGTATTATGTAGATATTGGAATTATTTTTATTATCTTTTGGTTTTTTAGATTAAAATTTTCCAAAAAAAAAGAAAAAAGCAAAAAACACATGGATAAACAAAACAACATTTTATTCATGATCTTAAAATCTGAAACAAAGCCCACACATAGTCACTTTCACCTTGGGTATAGTGAAATGATTTTTTGAAAATAACAAAAAAAATTACTTTGCAGTGTGCATAATAGAAGGAACATCAACGACAATCCAGTTCTGAAAAATCACTTCATGCGTCACGAAGTTTGGAAAATCTTACTCTGGATCATCTTCAGTAATGGCATCAACTTCTGGAGAAGTAGGGTGGATGAAGCCTCCACTACAAAAAGTCTCTTGAATAGGGCGAATAACAACCTCTTACTTAACAACTTTTACATACTTAGGAGAAAACTCAAGACCAACACGATACTTATTTTCAGGAAGATTCACGACTTGTCCCCAACCAACAATTGGACCATGCTAAACCACTTGTTATGCATCCTTCAAGGAAGAGATGGATGCCCCATTCTTCTTAGAAACATTATCAATAATAGAAAGAGCTTGGAACATAGTTCTAACAGCTTCACCAGCATCAATGTAAGAAAAAGATGAGAGATGACTCACCAACATTGCTTGCTCACCACCCACTACTACCAACTTTCCATTTTTCAAAAACTTTAACTTCTGATAGAGGGTTGAAGTAACTGCCCCGACTTCGTGGATCCAAGGACGACCCAATAGGCAACTATAATCAGGAGGGATATCCATCACTTGGAATGTGATCTGAAAAGATTGAGGGCGTATCTTCATGGGGAGATCGTTTTCCCCTATAACATTCTTTCTAGATCCATCAAATGCTTTGACAACAACTCCACTATACTGCATCGGAGTACCTAAATAAGAAAGCCTAGATAAAGTAGACTTGGGCATCACCTTCAAAGAGGATCCCGTATCCACCAAAACATTGAATAAGGCATTAGCTTGACAATTCTTTGAGATATGCAAAGTCGAGTTGTGATTCCTACCTTCCTCAGGCAACTCTTCGTCACTGAAACTCAAGTTATTGCATGCGGTTATATTTCCAACAATACCATCAAATTGGGCAATAGTAACATCATGATCTACAAAATTTTGTTCCAATACCCTTCTCAAAGCATCTCTATGAGTTTCAGAATTCATTAGCAAGGATAGAACATAGATTTTAGATGGAGTTTGAAGGAGTTGATCAACAACCTTATACTCACTTTTCTTGATCAACTTTAAAACTTCATCAGCATCAGAATTCTGGTTCAATCCACTAGACTGTCCTGTCACTAACTCAGATTTAGACTGCACAACAGGCACTTCAACTTGAGTTGTTTCACCAATAAAAAAATCCTCAACCCTTTTGGGAGGCACAAAAGCAAACACACGACCACTATGGGTCACTCTACTAACATCAACAGTGTTAACAATAGAAGAGAGAAATGGAATAGGAGCTTCCTTACCATCCTCAATCATGGTAGCATTGTATCTATAAGGCACAACCTTATAAGAATTGTAAGGCGTAGAACTTGGCAAGCAGATAACCAAAGGAGAGACAGAAGATTTCTGACTATTGTAAGTAATTTCTACCAATTCAAGTATATTAAAATGAGGAACCACAACATCGGCCCTTGCTCTAGTAACATGGAGAAGTCTCTGATCCAATAAATCTTGAAGTTCTTTCCTCACAATAGAACATCCACGAGGATTCCCTGAACAGATTCTGCAATCAGCATGATCATATTCATAATAATTGAGCCTACACAACGATTTCTCCAATATTTTCCATGCTTCTTTTGCTTCCAAACGATATCTCCAATATTTCTCATGCTTCTTTCGCTGATTCTATATTACTGACCTTTTCGAAATTATCTGAATCAACGCATTGATGAATAATAAAGGGAGCTTTATAATTTTTCTTCTTCAATTCTTTGTGTGTAGTCTTTCCTTCATCCTTCGCATTTTCTACAAGTGGTATCACTCCCTCCTTCACAGGATCTCAAAGATCTTGATAGCAGCAAACAATCTTCATCTGCTTCCACCAATTCTCGTAATTTTGATTCTTCAGAATTGGAAGATTCACCAAAAAATGCACATTCGAATGATTCATTGCGCTATGTTTCCCAAGAATCACACATCCAATAATCTAGATACCAAATGTTGGAAATTGGTGAGAATTCCGAATCAATATTGGTGAACAAGAAGAATCAATCACACCGATCAATTTTGCCTCTTGTTCTTCACTTTTTACTCGAGTGAATCAACCACACTTTGATTGCAAGATGACTCCACTGCACAGAAACTTGAGAAGAAAAGAAAAGATGAATTGAGGAAGAAAAGAGAAATTAGAGTTTGAGAGAAAAGGGGAAGAAGGAGAGTATTTCTGTAGAGTTTCTTTTTGCCTTCAAACTGAAGTTTTTCACTCTTTTCTCTATGCAACTGCATTATTACAATGATAAGGTACCTATCGATTTATAGGCTGAGATTGCTTGCACACCAAGCAATCTCCAACTAACCTAGCTCAGCTAAAAACACAAAATAAAGCTAAGTTTAAATTTATGTTGAGATACACTTCTTCGACATTTTGATAGCTATATAATTTCTACACACAGAACATTCGACAACAAAAAACTTTGTCGAAATGGTGCGTTGACACAATAAATATATTCTCAACAGTAATCAGATACATCGAAATCATAAACAATTACTACAAGTGACAAAATGTCTTCGTAATCGGTTATCAGAAGTGTGTAACCGATTACCACAACTTACAATATCCCTTTGTAATCGATTACCAATAGTGTGTAATTGACATGAATAATCATTTTACCCTTTTAATAACTATTTATTTATTTAATTTTAGTAGACCGGACATAATAATGTATATTGGACCCCTTGAACCAAAATGTATTGGGCCAGCCCATTTGAATAATATATATGAAATTTTGATTGATTTATTTTTTTTTCCTTAAGAATGAAATATTGTTTTCTAATAATCAGAGGAATAAAGCATACAAAGTTTGTTATAAAAAATAAAATAAAATAAAATCATATAATAGAATCGAGCTATCAAGTTAATTTCTCTTTTCTGTTTCGTCGCAGCATTCTCTTTTCTGTTTCGTCGCAGCATTTTGAATTGAAGCAGTTGGAAACCTCTTCTCATTCATAATCTTTGGCTCCCAAGTTTGTTTGTTCATCACATATTAGGTAAAATCATTTTATATCATCATTCTTCTTAATACACTTATCACTTGCATTTTATTATCAGATTTGTTTCGTCTGCGATTTGGAACACTTATTATCACTTGCATTCTATTATCAGATTTGTTTTGTGTGCAATTTGGAAGTTAATATCAAATTCAATCAGCGCGTCAAAGCTTCTCAAAAGCTTAAATTTGTAGTCGAGACGAAGTTTGATTAACCTAAAAGAGACTCGAGATATCGCATCAAAATCTATCAGGTTAGTTTATTATTGAATTATTTTTAATTGTGATTTATCAATCTTTAAGAAGCTTTTAATTTTTTATCTTCAACCTAATTAACATCAAAACGAGCAAAATCTTCAACCTTTTGTGTTTAGGTGCCTATAGTCATGATCAATAAATTGTTTGTGTTAAATCACGTTTTGCGAAATTGGATATCCAAACGTGCCCCTAATATATAGAGGCTTTAGATGAGTTTTATGAGTTTGTTAGATTTTTGCTCCTCGATTTTCTAACGTCTATATTTTTTCGGGAATAGTGAATATTTTGTTTTCAGCATTTTTTAATTTTTAAAATTAAAATAATATTCATTTTGTTATCCAACAAATAAGGATTTAAAATGCAGTCGACGTAATAATTGTAAAAAAAGTTTTTCGAAAAAATAAATAGTTGTCATTAATATTTAATTTAAGATTCTTAATGTTTATGATTTTTATGAATATGCACAGTATATTAGACTTTTGTCGAGAACTCTTAATAATTAATTTAACAAAGTGGGGTTATATTGAGATAAGATTATTGGCATGTATATCCATTAAAATTCACGTCTACTTTCGTAAAAAATAATGTCATTTTGAGTGAAATTTTTATTTATAAAAATAAATAAGTAAGTTGTCACAATTATTAATTATTTTTTATGTAACTAATGATGTTTATTTATAATCATTATATTAAATAAATAAGTTACATCTATTCAAATATATATTTTTCACAATATTTTATTTTGGATTGTAAGATATAAACCGTGGGTAACTTGAATTGATAAACTCTAATACTATTATATTATGTTTTACAAATTTGCAGAGGCATAAAAAAGAAGAGAGTCATATGGATAAAAATTCAAATGGAGTTGTAAGTAGTAAAACTACAACGAATAATGATCGTAACAGAGGAAATAGATCCACCAACAAAAGATTCACCACGGTGGATGATGGCGAAGCCGATATAGAGTGTTCCGGCAAGCATTGCAAATCATGCACATCAGGATTAGTAGCAGATTGTGTTGCACTATGTTGTTGTCCTTGTGTTGTGTTACATTGTTTTTCTTTGCCTTTTATTATGGGAAAAAAATGTTTGGGATTAGGGAGCAAGAACAAGAATAAGAAGAAGAGATGTTGTTATAAGAAGAAATGTAAAAGGGAGCATAAAGATGTTGATGGTGTTGTGTTAGAAGGAAAAAAAGAAGAGGGTTTGGATGTAGAACAGTCAACATCGTCAATGGATAATGTTCATGTTAATGATGGATTTGAAGCTGAAAAAGTTTGGCATGATTTGCATCAAATCAGGCATTTAGGGTTTGGTTGGGTTTCTTTCTCAAAGGATTAATTTCAATGTTTTCTCATAAAAAAAATTTGTATGTTGAATTGATATTGAGTTTGATAGACTCGCATTGAAGAACTGTAATTTTGACAAAATATACATTTTATAATTCCAGTTAAGTTACAGTATTATTATGATTCGATTCTAGTGATTGTGATTGAGTAAGAATTTGAGGAGTGTAAAATTTCATAATCAATATAGAATGATACAGAGAAAGGGTGTGATTTTTCTCAAATAGGTCAATTTTTTATGATTTTTCATGGTTTTAGAATTGAACTAAAGACATGATTTTTATACTTTAGGAGGATGATATATTTAACTTATTAAATATATTGTTGTTTATTTTTTTGTATCGAAATTTATGGGGAAAAGTGAAAATATAAATTTGTTTCCCATCATTTTAGCAAATTTTGAAGAATAACTTTAAAAAAATTAAATTATGTTATTACCTTATGAATATTTTCATATTTTAATCTTTCATCAAATTCAATCGTAATCATCATTATAAATGACATAGCATTGTCATGTGATTTATTTAATTTATATTTTTTTAAATGATTTTAACTGACGTGACTTTTATTTTTTATTTTTTTAATGTCACATTGGCTTTTTATTTTATTTTAATATCTTTTCTAAACTATTTAAAATTTAAACAATTAAAAAAACTCATCATTTTTATCGTCATCACAATAACATAAAAACACAAACTATGGAGTTTCATCATTTCATCATCATCACAACAACACATAATGAGGAGTTGTTAATAAATATTGATTTATGGATTGTTGTAATGATAAAACTTCATGGTTTATGTATTGTTGTGATGATGATGAAAATAAAGAGTTGTTAACAAAGATTGATTTATATGTTATTGTGATGATAATGAAAATGATGAAATTCCATAGTTGATGTGTTGTTGTGTTATTATAATGATGATGAAATTGAGGAGTCACAAACACTAGTTTTATGTAGTATTTAACATGACAATGAATTATAACAATATAATTAAATGGTGGTCATTTTGATTTTTTGAATGGTTTAAATTTTAAATAATTTAGAAAAAAATTATTAAAATAGAAAGAAACAACATGACATTAAAAAAAACAGTAAAATCATTTAAAAAACATAAATTAAAAAAAAATCATTGCCATTTATTATAATGATCGAGTTTGATTAATAGGCAAAACATGATAATCTTTATATGTTAAGGTGGGAATTCAAAAAAATATTAGAGATGAATTTTTCAAAATTCTCTCAAATGACATGAGATAAATAACTATTAACCCTTAATTATTTTATTTGAACCATTTATTTGTAAAATTTTAACATTAAATTATTAAGGGTTAAATATATTTGTGGTCCTCCTTCATACATATAAATGACAGGTTGTTTTATTATTTTTATTATTTATTATTTTAATTAATATTTTGTTGGAGTTTGTTAATAAATGGCTCCTAAATTTTAGAGCCGGCTGTTTTATTATTTATTATTTATTTCTATTTTGTTGGAATTAATAAATAGTAGTTGGTTTCTAAACTATTAACCCTTAATTATTTTATTTGAACCATTTATTTGTAGAATTTTAACATTAAATTATTAAGGGTTAAATATATTTGTGGTCCTCCTTCATACATATAAATTATTAAGGGTTAAAATATTAATTAAAATTGTATGAAAATTTTAAGATTTATTAACCCTGCTTCATTCTTATTGTTTCACAAAAGTTGGGCTATATAAGGACCTTCAAGTTGGTTTGCGAGGATCAGGACATTACTCTGACCACAGAGGTCTTTGTCGCATTTTTCATCACTAAACAATCAAAAGGTAGTTAGGTATCCCTGAGTAGTTGACTGACGAGAGGCCTTTTCACATCCCACTCCAATCATTATAAGTATTGGAAGGACATGTTTTTCCTGGGTGAGGGGCGAGACAATACCCTTGAGATGTTGGGATCTCATGGCGCCCCCTACTTTCCTATGTCATGGACGGATGAACCAACAACAATCACGGGGTATAACTCGCCATTTCTTTCCCTATAAGAGATGAGGATTGTTTGCTTTTTGTGGCAGTTTGATGTTATAGACTGTCGGGAAGTGATTAATCTTTGGTTGTGAATTTGAAGCATCTCTTTGCCTATATAAGTAAATGGCCTTATATCTTCCTTTCGGAATATTATGTATTCCATTTATTTTTCGTGTACTTTTTCTTAGATCAAATGGCAAGGATTTCGATAGAGGAGCATAATCAAATATAGGAGAAGCTTAAGTCCTCCAGTATGAGTACCAACAATCCTAAAATCTATCTTGAGGGTTTCATCCTCAAAGGGAAAAAAATTTTAGTTGAGAAGATGGCTCTGGATTCTCTAAATGTCAAGGATCAAAGGTTAGAAGATGGTTTTCCTTATGTTATCGACAAGGCATGAGTGACGAAGCTCTCTATAGGAGAAACTCTTTTCACTTATACGGCTTGGTGGAATGATGTCGGCTTTGATATCCTCCGATTCAAAATCTCCCACCTCCTCTTTTCCAAAGAGTTTCCTGTTGATTACCAAACCCTTTTCTCTAAACTGATCTCTTCCATTGTGAACATGAAGGATACTTTTTTTATGGAGAATGTGCGATAAGGCTCTGAAAGAGCTAGACGAAAAGCTCCAAGAGCAGATGAAAGTCTACAATGAGAGTCAAAATTTATTATTGTCCCTTCAACAAGACAAGTATAAATGGTAGAAGAGGTTGGTAAATGTCTAATGCAAGGCTAAATGCATCTCTACTGAGACTATCTAGATGCTGCTCTTCTTCGCCATAAGGGTTTAGAAAAGAAGGTATCAGAGCTAACCAATAGTGTCTTCTTTCAGCGCCTATTTTGAGCATGCCAAGGAGCAGGCTCTCTTCCTCTATTTAGATCTGGATTTGAATCTCCTAGACTTTTCTCAAAGTCGTGCGAGATGGTGCGTTAGTCGATGAGGAGATAGTGGCCTTTCCTGAAAGCTGAACTTCCATCGATGGAAACTCGTGGCCATTATAGGAAAATTGGGGGTGGTGATTATGAATTCCCTCAACTAGAGGAATAATGATGGTTTAGTTTATATATTGGCCCATGGTGGCCCTTGTATTTATATGGCCCTTTAAGTTTTTTTAGTTGTACTTTTATGCCCCTTCGGGAGCTTTTTTAATTGTTTGGAACATCGGCGTCCTTGGGGGCACCTTTTATGTTAACTGCTTTTATCATCATTTACTTGTTTTTGACCTTTTCCTGAGGTTGTTTATTGTAATAATTGCTTAAGTGGGTTGCAAGGATACCACTTTAAGGACCCAACAAATATGATCGTCTCATTGGGAGACAAGGGTCCCATTTAAGGATCCAACAATTTGATCTCCACATTGGGTGGCAAGGGTCCCTCTTAAGGATCTAGGGATTGATTGTCGCATTGGGTGAAAAGGATCCCGCTTAACGATCTAGCGATTGATTGCCTTATTAGGCGGCAAGGATCCCACTGAAGGATCCAGCGCTTGATCGCCTCATTGAGAGGCAATGATTCCACTTAAGGATCTAGTGATTGATTACCTCATTAGGCGGCAAGAATCTCACTTAAGGATCTATCACTTTATCGCCTCATTAGGCAGTTAGGATCTCACTTAAGGTTCCAATAATTTGATCTCCATATTGCGTGGCAAGGATCCTACTTAAGGATCCAACAATTTATCACCTCATTGGGAGGCAAAGGTCCCACTTAAGGATCCAACACTTGATCGCCTTATTGGGCAGCAAGGATCCTACTTAAGGATCCAGGGAATGATCCCCTCATTAGGATGCAATGATCCCACTTAAGGATTTAGCGCTCGATCGCCTCATCGGGCGAAAAGGATCCCACTTAAGGATCCATCGATTGATGGCCTCATTGGGAGGCAAGGATCCCACTTAATAATCTAGTGATTGATCGTCTCATTAGGCCTAAAGGATCCCACTTAAGGATTCAGCAATTGATCGCCTCATTGAGCGGCAAGGATCCCACTTAAGGATTCAACGCTTGACCGCCTCATTGGGCGGCAATGATCCCACTTAAGGATCCAATGATTAACAGCCTCATTGGGCAGCAATGATCCAACTTAACAATCCAATGATTGGTCGCCTCTTTGGGCAGCAAGAATTACAATTAAGGATCCAGCGATTGATCGCCTATTTGAAAAAAATAAAGGATCCCACTTAAGGATCCAACAATTGAATTCATCATTAGGTGAATTTTGGTTGCCTTTATAAGAAATCTTCTCTCAAACTCTTAAGTTTCATGCAAAGAAATGGATAGACAAATGTACGGACTTTAACATAATGAAAAGTGTAGCGCCTCATTAAAAACTCTCTCCACCTGCAAGAGCGTAAAAAGGGAAAAAAATCTTCATAATTTGGAAGCAACAAGACTCCACCAAAGAAAACCTTTCTCACAACATATGGTCTTTCATAATTTGGAGTCCATTTGCCCATGTGATATGTCTAAGGAGGGAGGATCCTTTTCAAAACCAATTCACCTGTCTAGAAACACCAAAGACACACTTTCTGATCAAAGGCCTTCTTTATCTTGCTTTGGTATAAATGACCATGTGCAATGGTTGTCAACCTCTTCTCTTCGATGAGGTTCAGTTGGTCCAACCTGGTTCGTACCCATTCGGTTTCATCAAGCCTCACATTCGCCAAAATCCTTAAAGAATGAATCTCAACTTCTAATGGTAGGACAACTTCTATACCATACACTAGTGAGAAAGGAGTTGCCCCTATCGATGTATGAACTGAAGTACGATAACCATGTAAAGAAAAAGGAAACATCTCATGCCAATCTTTGCATGTTAGCACCATCTTCTGCATAATCTTCTTGATATTCTTATTCGCTGCCTCAACAACACCATTCATCTTCAGACGATATGGAGAAGAGTTGTGATGTTCAATTTTGAAGTTCTGGCACAACTCCTTCATCATCTTTTTATTCAAATTTGAACCATTATCAGTAATGGTTC